CTTACAAATTTATTGGGTTTAGTGATGTTTGTTTGTGTATACATCACATTAGGTTGCAAGCTTTTATCACATACTGATTACATACATTGAGATAATCTAATAGCAAATATAATATATGAAAAGCTTGCACACAAATACAAACACAAACTACTTCCTCCTGACCTAAAAGTTTGCACATGAATAAAAGGAAAGTTTGCTGAGTGTTTACATCTACAAGTTACTGTTACTCATGTTTGGAAAATAACTAACAAAATATAAAAAGAAAACCCCTTTTATTTACAACTTATAGAAAATAAAATTTAGAATATGATACATGTGACCATAATTGCAAAAAATGTCAATTTCTTGTTCTGTGGAATAACTGCCAATTAGTAAGAGATATCAAAAAAGTTTAAACAAACATTGCATCTCTTTTTTTATGTCTAAAAAGTTGCATGTAGATAAATATAAATAAATTTGAACAATTCATGTTTTTCAAATTGCCCCACTACCAACCCTTAAAAGATTGATTTTGTACTTTGTAAATTTATGTGAAATACTCCATAACCATTTCCCATACAGCAACATACAAATTATGTGAGTTTTTTTATTAGATTAATTTGCAAAACTGCATGCTAAATAATATACTGCATAAAACTATTTTAACCTGTGAGCATGTACAGTAGCAATGATTTTCTTCAACTACTAGGTTTTTGCAGGCATTTTACACCAAAGCTGTGCTTCCGTGATATCCTCACATGTTATGTGTAAAAATTTCAGTTGAAAAATTTTTTTTCCATTTATCACACATCCATAACATACAAAATACATTTACTAAAAAAAACAAAAAATAAGTACTAAAAATACTAAGAACTTGTCTACAAAATAAAGTGCCTGTGGAGAATGTCTAAGATGCTTATTGTGCCAATGGTCCTTATTTGCACAGGCATCACACTATACCATCCTTTCTTAAAGTGGGCGATAACACCCCCTTGTGGGTGCTGGAGGCCTTCAGGGAGCAGTAGAAGGCTCAGTGATTAAATATGAGTTTTATTTCTTCTCATTAAAACATTCTTTGATCTCAGACATAGGATATGGGTCACACCATATCTATCCTATCCATATAATAATGATTGTTTAAACATTATATTAGCAATAGCTATTTTTAAGATATGCAACAGATGGTAATGTAAAAAGGTAAGTTAAAAAATATGGGGGCACTAGATTTTTTTTTAAATCTGAAAGTAGACAGTGGTCAAAATAAGTTTGAGAACCTGTACACTATACAAAAATCTGGAAACATCAGGCCTTAACAATAGGACATAGGCTATATGATATTACAGAAAGCATCCATGCTAAATACACGCCACATAGTTAAGAAGTTTAAATGTGCATGAACAGCACAAAATCACAGTAAGTTTTTTGTAGCTTGACTAGCACTTGACCAGCTGTATCAGCATAGCACTAGACACTAACACAAACCAAGTAGATTACTAATTCTTTTTACCACTACGTCCTTACTGTTTTACATTTCTGTGTATATATTGTCTACTTGGACCTTGTTTATTAATAGAACTTATACTGTTGAAGTTCCAGATTAGCATAGAGAGGTGATCTTAGTCAAAAGTCAATTTTATAACAACAAATTATTTTTGAGGTATAGTTTTTATTAGTGTGTGTATGTACAGTACACTATATAGCTATTTTATAAGTCCAATTCAGAATAACCATCATAAATAAAAAATAGCCTAAAATGTATAAGACAATTTTGTAATACCTATTAATTTTCAGAAAAATCCAATCTTGAAATATATATTATTATGACTTTTTGGATAGTTTAGCAAACACAGCACATTTCTTTAATAACTAGTATGGAGAGAGCATTGGAATATTTTGACAAATATAATATAAATGATTATTAAAAGTGACAAAATTATAATATTCCAATGAAAAATTTTACAAAATAAAATACCATCAATAAATTTTGTATTCTAACGACATCCAATTTGTGAAAATATTCAAATATTGAATTTACAAAATAAAATACCATCATTTTAAAATACACTGTTTTATTCTTAGTTATTTGACATTTCAATGACTTACTTTTATATTAGTTAGTTTAAATAAACAAAAGCTTCAAATATAAGCAATATCAACTATTTAATAGTTACTATAATTAGAATCAAATTAAAATATCATAATTATTTTCTTTTACTAATATTAAATAAATGCCGAATTGTTCCTAGTATTTTATTTATAGGTAACATGACTAAAATTTATCAATTTTAAGATTTCTTTCAGTGCTAAGAAAAAAGGTACCAAATCAATGATATATAACTGATAAAAGTAAATTAAGATGATTTCATTATTATAATATTTTACTATATTAAAAATTAAGAACCATAATGAGAATCGATATAATTAGCTATATACAGAAATAAATTTAAACATTACAATACTGGGAAAACAAGAAATGTAAATTATAACAATCAAATTATTAAACAATTTAAAAATTGCAACTGAATAAATAATATAATATATTTGTAAAAAAATAATTTTAGTATATTTTGATATAATTATATGTTATTGACAAATAAACAATGTTTAATTATAACTGTATATAATTCATTAGACGAATAATCTGTAATGTTTTTATTATTAATATAATTCTGAAAAACTTTTCTAAATCAATCAGAACATCTAGTTTCATAGATCATTCATTTACACTGTTTCCAAGAAAACTAACTATTTTCTTAAAATACAATAAATTCCCATATAACAAATTTAAAAACATGAGAAGATATATTAACAAAAAAATTTTTATTTTCTATTAATAGTAAGCAGTTTTATAACACTTAATAAACTTGATATTCAATTAATTAGTAAACAGTTTTATTTTGGAAGAGTATGTACTCCTGTAATATGTCTTTTAATATTCATTAATCAAATGTAAAATAAAAAATATTCTAGCATGTTTCCATAAAAGTTCTATCTCCATCACATACTAACAATTGAAAATATTCTTTCATAAAAATAGTAATGAAAAAAGGCACATAAATATCAGAATTAAAATATTTGATCCAAATTCTACACAAGTAATATATGAACTGTATATAAAAGCTTTCATACTTAAAACATCCAGAAAAAACAAAATAGTAATTTGAAAAGAAATTTTTTTTTCATAACAAATGTTGATACAATCAATTTGATACTGTTTGAGATGAAAACACAATTGTCTACACTTTATGCTTACTACCAATATTCTATCTATTGTAAAACCCAGATTATCTGAGGTAAGGTGATCTATCTTGGATAATCAAAAATGGACAACCATCAGCATTTATATTTGCAATTTTTAATCCCAACAGATTTACACAGTATAACTTTTAAGTCTTTTTTTTTTATAACTTAATAAATTTAATCAATTATAAGATCAATAATTTGTGTTAAATAATTTACTATTCAGCTACTATGTACTGTACAATAGTTTATAAATAAAAATATGTATTATTGTAGTTAAATTTTAATATGATGATGTGTATCACATTAAACTTAAATGATAAAAGATAACAGAAACATATCATTTTGTAATACATGTTATTGTTTTAAATTTTCTTTTACGAATAACAATAAAAAAAAAAACAGTACATTCACTTACAGATTCACTTCAGAAAATGCAGAAGCTTGATTATCCTCTACTTGCATTATATAAATATAAATTATATTTAATATAACTGCTGAAAGTTGTAGCAACAGATAAAAATGCAAAATCAAATCAATTACATGAATCAGCATGCAAAAGATATTGGCTCAACTCACTTCATAAGCAGTAGTTAACTTCATAACATTGCACTAAAAAAAATGCAATGTATGCTTAGAGTATATAGAGCCATCTATAATTATAAAAAAATTTTTGGAATTGTTATTAAATAACTTATTTAGAATTTAAAAATACAAATTATATTAGTCATCCTTAATCTATACTCAGACCAAATATTTATCTGGATTTATAATTTGTTAGATTATGGAATCATTATATATATATATATACAATCATCATAGTTATATCAACATATGCTTATTTCTTCAATATAACTAATATGATAAACTCGTAAATTTTCAATCATAACTGCTTATTATAAATAAGTAATTCTGATGTAAAAGGAAGAACATTTGAAATTTGATATTATTACAGATTTAGCATAATGTAATAATGATATTGTTATCATTTGTATTATATAAAATTACAACAAATAAATAATATTTAGTATTACTGATTTTAAGTTACAATTACTTTAACAAAATTAAGTTCATCTACACTGATCTTCTATACATATAACAATTCAAAATATACACAGTACATATGTTTTGCTTCCCTTTAATTAAATAAACTTAAGATTTCTCATCGACCAAAAAAACAATTAATTTTTCTGAATAAGATGGCAATAAAAATAATTATATTTTTCAACTATAAATTCGAATCTTAATTCAATTCTCTTTCATTATTTCTCTTGATTTGCATTCATTACAAATATTAAAGAGCATCTTTCACATTTTCGAGGCAGAAAAATCTTTTTTACTTTAATCAATTTCAATGTAATTAATCTAAAAAGTCGGCGTAACAATTATTCATTATTTCTAGAACAAACTTTCATTATGATTAGTTATCAGAAAAACGTATAAGACTCATGTTTCAAACCGAATCAAAACACGAGTAGATGCAGCAATACCACGATGACAACTGTAATCAATTTTTCGATTTTTGAACACTAGAATAAGCCGAGATTACACATTAACACGTAGCAAATAATTTCGTTTAAAGTAAAGGAAAAAAAGAATAAACGAAAAAAGTTCTCTGCGTTAAAGAAAGGGGAGATCGTACACCCGCTGTTTATCCATTACAGAGAAGCGCCGTGCGTCTTTTATTGTTTCAATCGTGACACGCCGTGTCTTTCGACTATATATAAATCTATCCGAAAATAACGTAAGTATCGAAGAGTAATCTGTGTTTAAATTCTTACCTTGATAAGGAGGACCCGAACTCTGCATATTAACAATCGGCGATGATGATGAGGCAGCCGAGATGATGATCAAATGTCCTCCCGGCAAACTCGGTTCGAGGCTATAGAAAAGACACAATGAGTTAGTCGTGACATCTGGCGGGAATAATAATAATAATAATAAAATATATATTCTATAGTTACCAAGGATGAAAAATTTAACGCACACTTTGACCTATTATAAATATCAATGCTTTTGTTACAGTAATTATCGTTTAGATCGTTAAATACAATTTAAACACGTAATCGTCAGATTACAAAAATTATTTTTAAAAATCGCAGATAAGGTATTTGTTATCGAACAAGTTTATTTTTTTTAATAGAAATATTCTTTAAAATACGGGATAAAAAAAAATGTTTTGAAAGAAAATTTATTGTGTGTATATTTTTCTGTTTCTCAAAGACAGAAAAATTCTTATTACCGAAAAAATATTCACATTGTAATATGATGAAATTCAGTGAGTCACACAGATGATCGCGCTAACTGTAACAAAATCGTACCGCTTATTCATTTATTCACTACCATTAACTTATTAATTACAATGTATAAGAATGTTGGAATAAATAGGTTCAAATAATAATAAATTATTCGTTCAAATTTAAAGACTGATTAAAACAAATATATTAAACGCACCAGTTAGATGCCTTCGAGAATTGCTCTTTAAAGTGAATATCGATAAAAGACAGATTAAAATTCGGTATATTATATTTATATACTGTATATTCTTTCTTCTGGTTTATATATATATATATATATAATTTAACATAAAGTCAGACAAATAATAAATACGTATATAATTCAAATGGAGCAAGTTAGAGAGTGACGTTGATGACGTCACAGTGCTGTCATGATGTCAAATTATGCAAATTTTCTAAAATGGCATTAAAAATACTCTCATATAATCATTTTAATATTATAGTTGACTTGCTGGAGCACACTTTTGCTATTCCAGTGAACTGCTTTGGCCAGGTTTGCAATATTCAAGTAAAACAAAATCTTTGTTACAGTTATTAGTTATAAAAAAACAGTAATATTGAAGTTAATGCTCGATATTTTTTTTTATCTTACTAAAAAAATTTTTTCTTACTTTTCAAGAAATGGGTGTCGATTTTTCACGCAAAATTCTTCGTATTTTTTGAAGCAAGTCTCTATATGATTTAAAATATTTTGAATAAGTTTAATTTTGGTTAAAATATTCAAAATTCTACAGACGTAAAACACTCTAATATAAATTTTAAAAAGTAATCGTTCGAAAAACAAAATGTTAAGTAAGAAATATACACGAAAACCTTTTGCGGTGTCGACAGTTATGAGTTTCAATGTTTAAAAATTCCTATACACAAAAAATAATAATTCTTTTGGTATTTTTAAAGATATATCAGTATTTTGTAATAAAGTATTCTTTCACAAAATACGAATAACCATCATTGTTATAATGCGAAATTTGAAAACATTTTACAGTATCTGTTTTATTAAAATACACATACAGTAAGACCTCGTTTAGCGCTTAGGATGCGTTCCTAGACGACAAAGCGCTAAATGAAACAGGATTAAACGAGGTCATTTTAACACAGTAAATAGGGAAAGGGAAACATGCAACCAAAAATAAACAAATTTTACTTTAAGTTATTTTTATATTAATTTGCATAATAATATATGTTACTTAACACACAAACATATGCACACAGAAATGTAAAGTTCATTTTTGTGATGAAGTCTAGTGTCATTTGTCCCATCATAAAGAAAATGTCAGTAGCAGGAGATATACATCCAAAACACCTTGTCTTGCTTTTGCACTCCTTTCAAAATCTGGATCATTTGCTACAATTTGATCAACAATTTCGGTTATTGTTATCAAACTTTTACTAAGGAAATCTGTAGCAAGTTCTTTGGGTTCTTTGTTTTCAGAATTACTATTTTCCAGTTCTACATGAATTCCTTGTTCTGCCAGTTCTTGAAGGTCCTGATTGGTAACCGTCACCAGAAACCTGCAGTAATGCTCAATATCCTGCTCATCTAAATCTCCTAGACCTGCTGTATCGATTAAGTTAATGATTTGGTCAATGATAGGCATTTCTCACTGAGAACCCTTGGATAACTCCAACCATACCTTTTTCCACACTATTTCATGCATTTATCAGAATTCTTGCCAAGTGAAGTCAATACTGCCTATGGCATCCATGATGTTATATTTTTTTCCAAAATTAAAACCAAACAAACACAGATTTAGGGGAAGTACAGCACTATGTTGAATTGCCACCCTTTTGCTGATTGGTCTGTGTTTGGGATTAATTGTATTATATAGGAATCAACGAAATGCAGCGATAATTCAAATCAGCATTAATTGAGGAAGCACTAAACAAGATCTTACTGTATTACATTATATAATACTTTTTAACAAAAATACATAGTCTTTTCAACATAAATATTTAAGTTTGTGGCATAATTTTGCAATCTGTTATAAGTTTGATATACTTGTATTTGTAACTGAATTGGTCATCTCAATTATTAATAAATACAAAAAGTTTTTGAAAAACATTTCTGTAAACTGTTATTGTTTTTTAGATTTATTAAACACATTTTGTAAATCAAGAAAAATAAATCATTGATGCTGCTAAATGTTTACTTACAGGTATCCCTTACTTAATGTGGGATTTGATTAATACACAAAATGAATTTCGGAAATTCCTTTATATATGTGACAGAAGTTTTAATTTATGCGGCTTTACCAGCTGTCTTTTCTTAACATAGATACTGTAATTTGAAGAATGCGGTTTTGCTGTATGTGGTAGGATTGAGGGATTAATTAACAGCGCTAATCAAGAGATACCTGTAGTAGTTTTCATAAATCAAAGTCCAAATAATGACTTTTAAAATACTATTATTGTTAATAATTAATGATATAGAATTTGTATCAAAACAGCTTTTTCTTTGCTTTTTATAACACATCCTGATAAGCATTATCAACAATTTTCATAATTTATAATGATTTAATATTTAAATTGTTAATAAGAATTCTTGATGATAATGGTCATAATTATATAAATTTTGTATTTTTAATTGTGAGATTTCTTTAAATTACATCCAATTTTTAAAACATCAATGAATGCGTAGTAAAATTAGATAAAGAATAAAGCAAATTTAAAAATCAAAACGGATAGAATGTTTTACAAATTATTAGATATGGAGAATTTTGCAAAAGTTTGCATTTTACAAATTAAACATTGCAAAATAAAATGGTTTCTAAAGCAATAATTTTTTAGAAAAATTTATTGCAACAGATTCATTTTTGAATTTCTGATGATGGAACCTAAACATATAAACTTATATTAGTAGCCCTTCCATAAAAAAAAGATAGATGCATTATAACAATTACTGTTATTAACAATTCCTGAAGGTAATGTTATAACTTCAATACTGACGTAATATAGTTAAATTTTTTCAAATTAAAATATTATCTATATATATAAAAATGAATGTATGTCTGTCTGTCCTTCATGCATTACTACACCATTTATCTGATTGCCATGAAACTTTGGGAAGTTGTTTAATACACTTCCGCAAAGGTTTCTGGCATAGTACATTTACCCTATGATAGATGGTGCGCGTGTATATGAGCATTTCAGCATGGTTAGGAGCTGAAACTTGAAATTTGGTACACAGTTAGGGTACGTCATGAGAATGCACACTAACAAGGGATTTTTTGAAATCCCCCCACGGAGAAAGGGACAGGATTAAGGCTTCAACAATGGAAGTGTTAAGAGAAAGCAACGTGCAAGATTTACAGGAGCAGATGTGGTTTTTTGCATTAAATTGAACATAATTTTAGACCCATCTAAAAATTTTCTAATTAGTCTGGAAATGGGAGAACCTAATTCTTGCATTCTGTGAAAATGGGTAAGATTGGATGTAATGTAATAATCTTAATCTTTGCTATCGTTACTTTTTGCCCAAGCAATGCCGGGCTTATCTGCTAGTTTACTTATAAACATATGATTATTTTGTTTTTAATTACAATTACATTGACCATAAACAAAAAAAAAAAGATTCCTGAAGACATTATAGCATCTTTGATCTGATGATTATAAATGTTTTTTCTTGCAACTGCACAATTGTCTTCACAGTTGACCAACTGGTAGGGTTGTCACTCTAAGTATTTTATATCTAAATGTAGATATTTTGTCCTTTACAGAGAAAATATTGTAATATATCGAAAATCATTAATATAGTACAGAAGCGTTTGCAAGGAAAAAACGTTACAATTGTTCAAGCTCGAATAATCATAATGGCTTTTGAAGTAAAAATGGNTCGAAGAGTAATCTGTGTTTAAATTCTTACCTTGATAAGGAGGACCCGAACTCTGCATATTAACAATCGGCGATGATGATGAGGCAGCCGAGATGATTTGACATTTCAATGACTTACTTTTATATTAGTTAGTTTAAATAAACAAAAGCTTCAAATATAAGCAATATCAACTATTTAATAGTTACTATAATTAGAATCAAATTAAAATATCATAATTATTTTCTTTTACTAATATTAAATAAATGCCGAATTGTTCCTAGTATTTTATTTATAGGTAACATGACTAAAATTTATCAATTTTAAGATTTCTTTCAGTGCTAAGAAAAAAGGTACCAAATCAATGATATATAACTGATAAAAGTAAATTAAGATGATTTCATTATTATAATATTTTACTATATTAAAAATTAAGAACCATAATGAGAATCGATATAATTAGCTATATACAGAAATAAATTTAAACATTACAATACTGGGAAAACAAGAAATGTAAATTATAACTTAATCAAAGTTAAAACTTTTAAGAAATGCAACGTTATGCACAAACTATATAACACATCACATTAGTAAAACCAAACAACTAATGGATTACATTCTTACAAATTTATTGGGTTTAGTGATGTTTGTTTGTGTATACNGTTTTTATTATTAATATAATTCTGAAAAACTTTTCTAAATCAATCAGAACATCTAGTTTCATAGATCATTCATTCACACTGTTTCCAAGAAAACTAACTATTTTCTTAAAATACAATAAATTCCCATATAACAAATTTAAAAACATGAGAAGATATATTAACAAAAAAATTTTTATTTTCTATTAATAGTAAGCAGTTTTATAACACTTAATAAACTTGATATTCAATTAATTAGTAAACAGTTTTATTTTGGAAGAGTATGTACTCCTGTAATATGTCTTTTAATATTCATTAATCAAATGTAAAATAAAAAATATTCTAGCATGTTTCCATAAAAGTTCTATCTCCATCACATACTAACAATTGAAAATATTCTTTCATAAAAATAGTAATGAAAAAAGGCACATAAATATCAGAATTAAAATATTTGATCCAAATTCTACACAAGTAATATATGAACTGTATATAAAAGCTTTCATACTTAAAACATCCACATAAAACAAAATAGTAATTTGAAAAGAAATTTTTTTTTCATAACAAATGTTGATACAATCAATTTGATACTGTTTGAGATGAAAACACAATTGTCTACACTTTGTGCTTACTACCAATATTCTATCTATTGTAAAACCCAGATTATCTGAGGTAAGGTGATCTATCTTGGATAATCAAAAATGGACAACCATCAGCATTTATATTTGCAATTTTTAATCCCAAAAGATTTACACAGTATAACTTTTAAGTCTTTTTTTTTTATAACTTAATAAATTTAATCAATTATAAGATCAATAATTTGTGTTAAATAATTTACTATTCAGCTACTATGTACTGTACAATAGTTTATAAATAAAAATATGTATTATTGTAGTTAAATTTTAATATGATGATGTGTATCACATTAAACTTAAATGATAAAAGATAACAGAAACATATCATTTTGTAATACATGTTATTGTTTTAAATTTTCTTTTACGAATAACAATAAAAAAAAAAAAACAGTACATTCACTTACAGATTCACCTCAGAAAATGCAGAAGCTTGATTATCCTCTACTTGCATTATATAAATATAAATTATATTTAATATAACTGCTGAAAGTTGTAGCAACAGATAAAAATGCAAAATCAAATCAATTACATGAATCAGCATGCAAAAGATATTGGCTCAGCTCACTTCATAAGCAGTAGTTAACTTCATAACATTGCACTAAAAAAAATGCAATGTATGC